GGGTTTTCGGTTATTCCGATTCCTTGGGTTTATTGCGCCAAAGCTCCCATAACTAGATGGTATGACCGAAATTATAGATTTCTAGATCCAACCGATAATCGACAACCGTAAACTATAACACAGGCTATTTTTCAAAATTCATCGTCCATGGGATTTGAACTCTAGACCTGCCACTTGAAGAGGGTGACGACTAGACCACTACACTAAGTTGCCACACCTCAATGTTTTGGTTTTTCTAAAATATTTTTATCAAATAAAAATTTAATAGATTTATCTTTATTTAAAAAAATATCTAATACCAATTTAATTTTAGGAAAATTAGACATTGTTTATTTAAATTTTATTATTTATTTCATATTTTATTTATAAATATTAATAATTCATTATAAATATTAATTAAAATAATAACAACTAGATAAATTATATATGAAATTATGTATAAATATAATTAACAGATAAATTATTTTCCTTTTCATTAAAAAAATCAAATATATATTCAGTTCTAATGTGTTTAATTAAAATATTTTCATAAAAAATAAAATAACACCCTGTATATTTCTCATCTTGATTTAATTCAAAATAAAATCTGCTATTGATCTCTTGTTGTTCAATATTCAAAAAATATTCATTATTATAATCAATATTTTTTTTATCAAAATTAGATTCAAAATCTATTTCACTACTAATGAATTTACATATATATCTTTCATCTAAATCAATAATTTCATTACCCAAAGTTAAATATATATATAATTTATTATTTTCATCAAAATAATCTTTGATTTTATATTGATTAACTGTAAATTCAGTTATTTCTATCTCATTAAAATAAAGTTTCGCATTTCTTAATGGAAATAAAAAAGATTCTGTTCCATTCTTTAAAACTTTTGAACAAGAATAATAATTCTTTGTAAAGGAATCATCAAAAAGACGTAATTCAAATCTATTTAAAGAACAAGGTTTGTTTTCATATGATATTCTTAAATAATTCCAAGAAAAATTTTTATCTTCTTCAAAAATAAATAAAAATTTACAATTTTCAATTTTAGAATATTTTGAAATATCAACCATGATTATAGATAATATCAATCAATAAATTTATAAATACCATCTACTTTTATATAAAAATAATTAAAAATAAATTCAAATTTTTATTAAATTAAATTAAAAAATTTATATATCATGACAGCACTGGATAAAACAATTTGGATTCGTAATTATTTTCACCAAATGCTTGATGAATTTGATGGACATTTTTTGAAAACTTTTGTATTATTTATTATATATTAATTAATTTATTATATTATTAATTAAATAATTATTTTTTAAATTACAGATGGAAATAAAAAACGCAATAGATGGTAAAGTTATAAGTGAAATACTTATAGAATCGCGGCATTTGGTAATTTGAATTAAAATAAATAAAATATCAAATATCATTATTAATAATTATCAATAATCTAGAACCATCTACAAATAGTTCATGGTGAAATGATAACAACTTTAATTGATGTTTGTAGATCTTTAGCCGTAGTATCTAAACTAATAAAAACTTCTTCAGGAGTTAGTACAGATATGAATGTTTCATTTGTAAAATCAGCAAAAAAAAGAGAAACTTTATTAATAGTAAGTTTTTAATTAATTAATAATAAATAATTATAATTTATTATATTTTAGATTGCAGAATGTGTAAATCTTGGTAAATCAATAGTATTTACAACTGTAGATATATATAATAAAAAAAATAAAAAAATAGTTCAGGGTAGACATAATAAATATATCGCTAAAAATAAAGTTTCGAAGATTTAATTTAAAATTGATAATCAATAATTCAAAATAAATTTTTAATATTTTTTATTAAATAAGCAGATAAAGAATTATTTGTTTTACGTGTATTAATGAATCCATTTAAAAAATCTTTTGAATTATTAATTAAATTTTGAATTTCTCTTTTTTTGACTATTTCTTTTTTTTTGAATTTTTAGAAATAGTTTTCAAATATGTAAAATTTTGTTTTTTATATACAAGTTCAATTCTTTCTTTAAAAAAATCAAAAAAAAAATTTATTGTACCAATATATAAATTAATTTCAGTTTCTTCAATAAAAGGTTTCACTATTAAATATTGGTTTGAGATAATAAATATTTTTTCAAATGGGATTTCTTTATCTTGAAATTCAGGTAAAATAAAAATCTTTTCCACAAAATCATTTGCTTTTGTAAAAATATCAGTGTGTATAACAAAAATACAAAAAATATCTTTCTGATATATTTCTTCTAAATAAAAGATATTAGTATTACTAGTGTTTAAACATGTTGTAGAAATACCACATTTTGATAAAAATCCAAGTATTAATGCTCATTTAAAATTTTCAATTGGAATCTTTTCGAAATTCATTCTTTAATTTTAATTTAATAGAAATTATTATTTATATAAACTATTATTATTAATATTTTCTTTAATTTTATATTTAAATTTTAATTTATTAAATCATCATTTTTTTTTTATTTAATTTTTTTAAATTAAATTTATAATTATTTTTAATTAAATCAAATTTCTCATTATAATTTGTATCATGTTTATTTATTTATTTTTTTTTATTATTATGGTTAGCTCTTGGGCCTC